CTCTCCGCTCTCTCTCTCTCTCTCTTCCTCTCTCTCTCTCTCTCTCTCTCTCTCTCTCTCTCTCTCTCTCTCTCTCTCTCTCTCTCTCTCTCTCTCTCTCTCCTCCCTCCCTCCCTCTCCCTCCCTCCCTCCCTCCCTCCCTCCCTCTTCCCCCTTCCCCTTCCTGCTGATTTTTTATTTTTTTCATTCTTTTATTGTTTTTTTATATTTTTTATTTTGGTATTATTATTAGAAGAAAGGGTAGGTTTTGGTATAGGGGTGGGTGGAGGGAGATATTTTGTTGATTTGTCCTTGTTGTTTTAATCGATATATATTTTTGGTTGTTCCAATTATCGCATTCTTTTTTTTTTCTTTTTTTTTTCTTTTTTTTTTACGTTCGGTCACCTGTGGATAAGAGAAGGTGAAGGAAGGAGGAGGAGGAGAGGGGAAAACAGAGGAGGAGGAGACGAAGGAGAAGAAAAACAAGATGGAGACGAAGGAGAGGAGGAGAGATGAAAAAAAAAAAAAAAAGAGACGGGGAAGAGGAGAAGAGAAGAAACAATAAGGATACGAAGAAGAGGAGGAGGAGGTCTAAGGTTAGGGCGGGGAGGGGGAGGGGGGAGGGAAGGCGGGACACGGCGCGTAGCTTAATTCCCCATCGAAAGGCGTAACGCGATAGCGCCGGAGAACGAGAGCGAGGCATCAAGCGAGGATCGGAACGCATGCCTCCCTCATGCCAGCCCCATTCCTCGCGACCTCTTGGTGACCCCCTGGCAGTGACCCGCCCCGCCGCCATCTCCAACCGTCGCCAACGCCCATCTCCATCTGCAACACCGCCTCCATCTCTAACTCTACCGCCATCTCTACCTCCATCTCCTTCATTCCCTTCCTCTCCAACATTGCTTCCATCTCTACCTCCTCCTCTTTCCACCTCCTCCTCCTCCTCCTCCTCCTCTCCTCCTCCTCCTCCTCTTTCTTCTTCCACCTCCACCTCCTTCATTCCCCTCTCCACCACCACCTCCACCTCCAACCCCGCACTAATTTTTCCCATCAAAACACCACCAAAGTAAATGACACGAATGATACTTAACACACTGAGCAACGAAAGCCCGAAAAAAAGGAAGAGGAGGAGAAGAAGAGGAAGGTCAAAAAAGGGGAAGAGGGAGAAGAGGAAGGCCAAAAGAGGGGAAGAGGAGGGAGAAAAGGAAGTTGTGTTGGGGAAGTGTCTTTTTTTTTTCTTTCTTTTTTTGAAGGGAAGAGAAAACCTTGGAAGAGGTGGGCTGGAGGGGGGAGGGGGGAGGGTCTGGCTTGGTTAGGGTGGGGGGTGGGGACGGTGGGGGGACTGTAGGCTTGAAAAGTGATCCTTCTGCCCGAGAAGAAACTGGGACCGAGCTTTTCTTTCTTTCTTTCTTTTTCTTCTTTATTAGAGAGAGAGAGAGGGGGGGTAAGAGAGAGGGAGAGAAAGAGAAAGAGAAAAGAGGAGAAAGAAAGAAAAAGTGAAAGTGAAAGAAATAAAAGAGAAAAGAGAGAGAGAGAGAGAGAGTAAGAGAAAAAAATGAGAGAGAGAAAAAGATATAGAAAAAGAAAGCGAAAGTGAAAGAAAAAAAGGAGAGAGAGAGAGTGAGTGAGTGAGTGAGTGAAGAGAAAAAGAAAGAAAATGAGAGAAAATAGAGTTATGGGTTTTCAGATGGTAATCGCCTTTTTTCTCTATTTCCCTTTTTGTCCTCTCGGTTCCTTCATATCCGCATACCAATTTTATTTCACCGTTTTTACACGTTTTTCTCTCCTCCCGCCTCTCCGCCCACCTTTCCTCTTCCCTCTCTCTCTCCTCCCCTATTTGGCTTTTAAGGACACACTTGACTGAAAGTAACTCCCTCTACCGTTCAGCATATAGTGCTTTTTTAAAGACTAAGAGAGGAAATGGCGCCTCGAGACTCATTTTCAGAGAGAGAGAGAGAGAGAGAGAGAGAGAGAGAGAGAGAGAGAGAGAGAGAGAGAGAGAGAGAGAGAGAGAGAGAGAGAGAGAGAGAGAGAGAGAGAGAATGTTTTGTGTCGTTTCGGATGTCGACTGAGGAAAGTACACTGTCGAAAGCCCCCTCCCCCCCCTCTCTCTCTCTCTCTTTCTCCCTCTCTCTCCCTCCCTCCTTCCCTCCTTCCCCTTCCCCTCTCTCTCTTTCCCTCTCCCTAAAAAGGAGTCTCCCTCTCTCCCTCCCTCTCCCCCTTCCACTCCACTCTCGCCCCTTCCCTCTCCTCCTGAACCTACTCAGGTTTTCCTCTACGGTTTTCCTTTCAGCATCCTTTCTTCTCGCTTTCCCTCCCTTCCTCCCTCCCCCGTCCCTCCTCCCTCCTCCCCTCCCTCCTCTCCCTCCTCCCCGTCCCTCCTCCTCCTCCTTCCTCCCCGTCCCTCCTCCTCCTCCTTCCCCTCCATCTCCTCTCCTCCCCTCCCCCTCCTCTCCTCCCTCCTCCTTCTCCCTCCTCCTCCCCGTCCCTCCTCCTCCCCCTTCCCCCGGCGCGTGTGTTCCCTGCTCCTCCCTCTCGTCTTCCTGTACATTGTTCCTCGCCGCCTTCGCCATTCAGGACTCCGGCCCGGGAATCCTCCGGCGGCCTCGTGTTTATGTCCTTGTGTTGCCCCCTGTGTCTGCTTTCTTGTGTCTCTCCCTTCCCTTTCTTTCTCCCCCCCCTCTCCCTCTCCCTCCTCTCCCTTTCTCCTTTTTCCGTTTCCTGTCCCTCTCCCTCTCTTTATCCTCTCTGTCTCCCTTCTTCCCGTCTTCTCCTCGGCGCATGGAGAGTGCCCTGAGCTTCTTCGTCGTCATCATCTTCGTCTTCTTCGTTTTCATCATCTTCTTCTCTGAATTGCTACTTATTCCCAACTGTTTATGAATATCTTATTCCTAGTTGTTTATAGAAGGAGAGAAAGGAGAAGAGAAGGAGGATGAGGAGGAGAAGAAGGAGTAGGAGGGGAGGCGGAGGAGGAGCACAGGAGGAGAGCGAGGCGAGCGGCGCGAGTTCCCTAGGTCTCGCGTGTGTTTACAGAGGGAGATCCCTTAATCCTTATGAGTGGTGGAGGCTGCGAGCTGGAGGCCCAGTTGTGGCTTAGGTGCCTTTGCGCTCGCCCTGTCTCCTCCCTTTTCCATTTCTCCCAATCGTTCCGTATTTATTTATTCATCTCTCTTTCTCTCTCTCTTCTCTCTCTTCTCTCTCTCTCTCTCTCTCTCTCTCTCTCTCTCTCTCTCTCTCTCTCTCTCTCTCTATATATATATATTATATATATATATATATATATATATATATATATATATATATATATACATTACACACACACATACACACACACACACATACACCTCTCCATTTCCCTCTCCCTCTATCAGGTCTATCTATCTTTCGATCTCTCTTGCTTCCTTCCTTCCCACTCTCCTTCCCTTTCTCCCTTCGCTCTCCCTCTTCGTCTCCCACTCCCCTTATTTCCTTTTATTCGCCATTTCCTCTTTGATTTCTCTCCACCGGCTGTCAACTCTGATCTCTTTACCTGTTTATGTTCCCTCCGTCCCATTTCCCTCCCCTTTCGTGCCGACCGTGAAGTTGTAGTTTCTGTTGCGTTCGCTTTTCTGCCTCCCAGGTGTAGCAGCTGTTCGGAAATCGCGTGTTTGTTTGTTTGCTTGCTTTGTTTCATAAATATTTTTTCCCCTATTGCCAAAATGTATAGTTTTCACATTCCTGTCAAGTGTCATGCGACCTTTTAGTATTAATAGAGCGAATCCCTGAAGAGCCTTCCCTAACGAGCGCCCTCTCCCTTGCAGACGAAGAAGCACAACCCGAACCACGTGAAGCGGCCGATGAACGCCTTCATGGTGTGGTCACAGATGGAGCGCCGCGAGATCGTCAAGTTCGCGCCGGACATGCACAACGCCGAGATCTCCAAGCAGCTGGGGAAGCGGTGGAAGAATCTGACGGAGGACCAGCGGCAGCCGTACATCCAGGAGGCGGAGCGGCTGCGGCAGCTGCACATGCAGGAGTACCCCGACTATAAATACCGGCCTCGCAAGAAGACAAAGTCCGGCAGCAGCGCCAAGGCGGTGGAGAAGGGGCGGGTCACCAAAGCCAAGGACAAGACGAGCAGCGCCGGCAGCACCGCCTTGAAGGCCGTCAAGCTGACCGCCGACCCGTCGCGGGCGCAGTTCACCACCGGCATCTCCGCCATCAACCACAACAAGCTCAAGCTCAAGCTCAAAATCGACAAGAAGTTCAAGGACTCGATCCGCAACACCATGTACGTGCCCATCTCGCAGTGCACGTCGCCGGCGGAGGTGCCCGCCACGCCCCACGAGATGCCCGCCTCGCCCGAGAGCGCCTCCCTGTACGACAGCCACGTGAGCACCACCTCGTCCAGCAGGAGCAGCAGCCGCGCCGCGTCCACCAGCCCTTCGCCAGGCAAGGAGCCCTTCCTCTACGGCCTCTACACCATCGAGAGCGCGCCGGGGCTCACCTCGCTGCGGCCCGAGTCGCTCGTGTCGTCCACCACCGTCACCTCGGCCGACGACGACGACGACGATGACGACGACGACCACGACCACGACGACAAGGACGACGACATCGACACCAAGGAGGACGTGTTGCTGTACAGCCGGAAACGCCACACGGTCCGCGACGAGGTGTTCGCCCCGCGCCCCTTCCTGCCCAGCTCCCTGTCGGCGTCCCGCGCCGCCGACCCTCCGCCCATCAAGTTGGAGCCCCTGGACATCAAGCAGGAGCCGCCCTCGGAGTCCACCCTGGCCGACCTCGACTCCCTCACCGACCTGCTGCAGATGCCCACGGACTTCAAGGTCGAGGTGGACGAGATCAACTCGGACCTTGACTTCGACGCCGTGTCCACGTCCTCGGGCTCCCACTTCGAGTTCTCGGACGTGTCGGACATGCTGAGCGACATCGGCGTCAGCAACGACTGCTGGGCCGACATCGGCATCATCAACTGCTGAGCTCGCACGGCGCCCGGCAGCAGGAGACCCTGTTGCCCGCTGAGTTGAGTTTGTTTGATATTGCAAGGAGCCAGCAGGCGTGGCCAGCGGCCGACGCCTGCGGGCGACCAGTGACGCCGGCTCCAGAGGCGGTGATGATCTCTTTGGTGTTTGCGTGCGAGTCAACCTTTATATACTTGGACGTTGGCGGCGACTGTGGAGTTGAGTGAAGCAACATGTGTGCTAGAGTAGTGATGTGACTCACATTTCACTGTGTGATTCTTTATGTTATACATAAGTTACTACTCATAGGAATCATGATATATAAGATGATTGACTTCTTTTTTTCAATGTATTCAATTTTTAGTCATGTAAACCTATATAAAAATGCCACAATAGTGTTGCAAGTGCCAGTTCTGCAGGTGTGATAAGCAGGTGTACAATGAAGACAAGACTTTGCGTTCTTCACCTGTACAACACCCGTCATAGGACATAATGTTAAGTGCATTTCCTTTTTATGAGCTGATCTGTTATGTTGTCATTTCATCGCCATAGTGACTACATAAATCACTTCATTTCATCATTTTATACCATAGCAGTTGAAGCATTTTTCTAAAGCCAAAACCCTTGGACTCCATGTCAACTGCCCATAAACAAAAAGCAATGCAAAACAAACTTGTAGTAGCATGGTGCCTGTGCCATTGGCATCACTTGAATCGACCTTTACAGAATATTGCCACATCCGGGATTCATTATTCAGTCAGGGCGGAGAAGTGAAAAAATGAAAAGAAAATGAGACAGGTAACTTAACTAGAAGAAAACGGAAGAAATAACGAGAAAATCAGGTGATGGCACCCTCAGGGCGATCCTGGGTGAGATCTCATCCTCTCTATAAAGATCAAGTGATGGCAATGGCATCCTCGACCATCAGTACTTTGGAATCTGTGGTATCGCTTGGGGTTGAGTCCCAAGACTAAAACGCACGAGGGGGAGCCACCGAGGGCCGAGGCCTCGCGTCCCCGGCGGGCACCATCGCTCCTTGGCGCGGGTCGTGACCTCGCCGGGGATGGCGAGGCGAGGCCGAGTCAAGGTTCGTTCCCTTGTTAATGAGCGGAGTAATTTTACCTCTGAAGAATTAGGTCCACATACCCCCACCCCATAGCCCCCCAACCCCTTATCTCTAGTCTGTATGTTCAGGTTATTCCAAAAAGAAAAAGAATAAAAACGTATGTTATTTGATCAACAACGTTTTCCACAACGCATCGTAATGGGCATTTAGTCTTTAAAAAACGTTTCTACACGATTCATGCAGTACACAACTGAAGGGCCTGGGCAAAATAGGAGCTGTTGTCTACATTAGAGTGTAAGTCCAAACTTTTTTTTTTTCAAATCTCTTTTAGAAGTGACTCAATTCACTCTTGTTGATATTTCTCCCGCTTTTCCTGTTGGTATTTCTGCGACAGAGTCGGCTTGTTGCAAGCACCCCCTCCCCGGCCGAGCCTCCAGCTCACCAAGTCTCAGCCAGTTACTCTGAGGATCTGTCTCGCGCACAACGGAAAAGATGTATTATTTTTGTGACGGGGCTCTGCGCAGCACTGTCATCGTCCCAGCGCCCTCCAAAACAGGTTCCACCCACTAAACCACCCGGTTTTTCATATATAAATGATATATATGAATATATATAGTAATCGACTTTTTGTACTAGTATTAATGCAACGATGCGAGCCCGGGGGCGCGAGGTGCGAAGCTGGCGCCGCGGCGGGGCCGTCTCCATGCGGCGGCGCGGCGCGAGGCCGCAGGGACGCCCTCGCCATGCGCCGCGCATGGACGGTCGCAGAGTCTCAGGAGGCCGGCTTCGCGTCCGAATGCCTCGAGGTTGGTATCACCATAGACTGCCGATCGTCGGATACACACATACATTACACATATACCCTCTGTCTTTCCTAAGTAAGTAAATGAAAAATCTGCAGGTACGGCGCATTACCATTACGGTGTGAGAGAATTTAGCGCTTCCGACGTCGCCAGCAGCTTCCGACGGTGCACTTTCGCAGTGTTGTCATTTAGGAAAGTGCACCGCGCCGAAGGGACTCCAGATGGACGGACAGATAATTCCTCTCACACGTTCTCCTTTTTTTAGTAACTGCATTATCTCATGTCTCGTAATATAGTGTCATCGGCTAAGACTGTGAACTCGTCGCTCTCATGATCGGAAAGTGATTCGAAGGTGGTCTCATTAAAAGAAGAAAACGAGAAAAAAGCAGCCAAGTGGTTTCCAATGCTCGCCATAACCCCTTGAGAACTGCTCTTCACTCGTGAGAAGTGGCCGTCACAGTGTTGGATCCTATCAATAACAGCCATTCATGTGCTTTTGTAACATTTTTATTTCTCTCTGTAACCAACTCAGTGCTATAGGGTAACTCTTATAGAATAACATTAAGGGTAAACAACAATGAGGCTCTTGACAGATCTGGTGATAGCTTTCTTATAATCCAAATGTAATACTATTTGTATTGCTTGCCTCCCCCGCCCCCTGTTGTTCCTTGTAAACTGATTGTTCATAATTGTGTTTTTGTAACGTCCTAACTGGTGTTTTGATTTGATGGCTGTAAGTTTAAAAAGTTTGTCCTACGGGAATGTTGTGGGTGGTCTCTCTCTATATATACTGGACACTGATTAGGGGGAAACATCGGGGTGTATGCAAGGTTCTCTCCGAAAACCCATTATTGTTGAATATTTTGTACCACAAGGAAGGAGTCCACTTTGCATACACTTTCTTCGAGAGTTCGCCCCCGGCCTCCCCTCCTCATCACCCTTTTGTACACCCAGGGGAGGCTTGAGGACGCTACTTGGAGACGCCAGTGGCCGAGTGGGACGCATGTAGTCCCCAGCGCCCTCTTGCATGTCTAGGTAGCGTTATCCGAATGTTTGAAGAAGAAAAAAAAAACTTTCAAAAACCGTTCCATGGTTCCAGAGGCCTCAGAAGAACCCGAGATCCTCTTGAATGGTGAATTAGAGCAATAAGGAGAATTTTTTGTAGGTGTTTTATAATGTATTCCGTCGTTATTTGTCATGTTGGATGAATTATCTACTCGAAGCAAGTTTTAAAAGGGAAGAAGAGCGCCGGCATCAGCTTAAACCGTAACCCAGTGCACGGCCTCTTTGTCACAGCTGTCTTGTGGGTACTTGAGACTTCGCTCGCGTGTACTGTGTGTAGTCCGAGGTTGCTTGAGCCTCCCTCTCTTAGTTGCAGGCGTAAGGAAGGTATTATGTGTATTCCTGGTCAGTTGGGAGGGTGAAAGATTTGTACATCATTTAGACATAAGAGAATGAGAGAGAAAAAAAAAACAGATGCATAAAGTTGGATTTTTGTCTTCGTTTAGCTGTTAAAGGATAATATTTAAATCACCAGCTACAACTTCAGTGTCACCACAGAAAGTAGATAGTAGCCGTTAATGACTATTTTTTAATCTGTTTCTGAGAACCCTCTTAGTGTTTCTAGAACCCTCTAGTTGTTTGGAATCTTGATCATCAGTTCGACAGCAGCGGCCACGCTCTCTGCTGTTCAAGAAATAACACTTTCATCATAGATTTCTAGAAAACTGTATTTTAGAAACAAAAAAAGAACTACTCCTAGAAACATAATCGTAATCTTCTTCAGTTCTTCTTTTGGACGACTTACTGTGCAAAAGAACAAGAAAACTAGCAGTAAAAGAACCTCCTAGCAAACTTAGCCGGCATCGTCGCCCGCGTCTTCCTGAGAGAGTACAATATCGCCTCCTTCATGCCAGGTCGTGGATCACAGGATGGGAGTTCCTTTACGCGCCGCCGCCGCCGCCGCCGCCACCTCAGGATCTTCTTGCTCTTAGTCTTGCCGAACCTCCTGCCCCCCTTCCCCTTTCCCCTCCCCCTCCCCTCCTCCCAGGCCTCCCCCCTGCCCCCACTCCCCCTCTCCGCTTCTCCCTGGCTCCTCGTGGCTCTGCAGGAGGTGCCACGGGCCTCGCCGTCAGCTGTGGCTCGCCTTTGCGTTCGAGTCCGTTTCCGGTTCCCGTCTTTTCCTTCGCGGGGGGGGAGGGAGGTCTTAATGATTCAGTTTGATATCAAGTAGTCACGGCTGCGATTATTATTATATATTTTTTTTATAAGGCTTACTACGACTGCCGTAGCTACTACTACTACTACTACCACTACTGCCATTGTCGACTTAAAACCTCCCCGAATCGTTGAACAGCAAAAATGATTCTCCGAATATCTCTCGTTTCAGCCACTCACGAAGGCCGTTTTCCGTTCCCGGCGGCTCGAGCCCGGTGTCTGCGATCGACTCGTGCAAAGCGAATCGCCCTTGTTGTCCTGGTCGAACCCCGCGCCGAAACCCCCTTCGCGCCCTGTTCCTGTTCTGAATCCCAACCCTCGTATGATTCCAATCCTTCTATCCCTGAATTATCCTTTCCAATTCTTCTATCCCTGAATTATCCTTTCCAGTTCTTCTATCCCTGAATTATCCTTTCCAGTTCTTCTATCCATGAATTATCCTAACACCAGTCCTTGCCTTATCCCAGTTTCCTTTATCACTCGAATCCTTTGGCTCATCCCACGCCTTTTTTTTTTATTATCCTAATCCTAACCTTATCCCAGTTTCCTTTATTACTCGAATCCTTTGGCTCATCCCACTCCTTTATTTTATTATCCTAATCCTAACCTTATCCCAGTTTCCTTTATTACCCCAGTCCTTTTATTACCCGAATCCCTGCCTGATCCCAATCTCTGAGTCTAATCCCGAATGTTTTCTACTTTCCTTCTCACTTGTTTTTCTGCAGCGTCCAACAATGTCGCTGTTTTTGACTGACAGACAGATCATATATACTCAAGTCATTCCAAACTTTTTCCCTTCCTTTTTTCTCCTATTTGCTTTTATATTCTCCCTTTTATTATCTGTCTTTCTTGTTTTCTTTTTCTTTTTAGTTTTCGTATTTTGAGATTATTTCGTTTCTTGAGGGGGTTGGGGGGGGTTTGGACATCAGTGACGACGATCAAATTGATAAATTAGTGAATCTAAGAATTTGAAAGGA